GCAGCACATCGCGCACCACTCCAGCCCATTCAGGCAAAGTATCCTTACGACATCGTTGGCGTGGACTTGATGGGCCCGATGTCCCCTTCTTATATAGGGGGATCGTTAAATTCTCGTCTTAGTCAACTTTTTCACCAAGTGGTGCGAAGCAGTGCTCATCCCCCAGATCAACGCTGTTACGGTTGCGAGGGCCATCCTTATCGAGTGGATCTGCGGACATGGCTTCCCCGAGCAGCTCCATTCAGATCGGGGTGCTTAGTTTCAACCTCGGCTGATGGAAGAACTCTGCCGGCTCCTTTGCATTCGGAAGCCTCGTCAACTCCTTAGCATCCTCAGGGAAATGGACAGGTGGAGCGCACAAATCAAACACTGAAGGCGTAAATCCAGTATTTCGTGAACAGCTCCCCTCGTTATACTTGGGATGTTGCCTTACCGCAGTACCTGCTCGCGTACCGTTCTACTCCCTACTCGTCCGCGGGCCATACCCTTTTTGCTCTGATGTAAAGTCGCGAGGTTCGTCTACCATTGGATTCAAATTGTTCTCTTCTACTCTCACCGCGTGAACAGCGCAATGGTTTCGTGCGAAAATTGCGAAATAGTCTCCACCATGGCCAAGAGCTCGCCCAGTGAGAAGATTATATTCAAACAGATGAAAAATCGCACACGGGATCCCGGAGTGATTTGATCAAAGGGCGGGTAACTCCCAACAACACCATTATTACGGACACATGGAAGGGTTACACTCGCTTTCCCTCGTTAGGATAAGAACTGTACACGGTTTACCGCGTACAAGATTTCTTGACCAAACTATAGGTCGGCACCCCAACGTTATAGAGGGTTACGGGAGCAACTTTAAGCGAGGACTACACCGAGGTGGGTCGGTTTCTGGCAGGACCGTCTGAGATCACAGAACATGCTCGGATTCGACCTTCGAGTGCATGACACAGAGCGGGCCTGGGATATGTTTGCACAGCATTTTGCAGAAATGCACCCCGTGAATGATGAACTAGGTAAGCGTAACGAACGCTCAAATCTGGTGAACCTTTAAAAATTGACCGTGGTCTAAATGGGCAACAGCTGAACAAAAACCTCCAAGGAGAGCACTGTATAGTGGCCATTAAGTCCGTGACAAGAAGCGCGGCCGGGTCGGACCGCCAAGGCTTGCAAGAAGGACAACTCACACGCATTATGCTACTATAATTTGATAAATATGAACACTCACCGACGAAATTCCAATGGTTACGTTTGCCGGGGGTTTGGGAATGGAGATGAAAATATGTTTATTGGGCTGCACGCGTGGGCGGAGAGAACAAAAGGAAAGTGATTTATAATGTATTGGATGACAACGAGCGATCAGTTACGAAGAAAATCCGGATTTGATAAGTGGTTTGCCTCTGGAAAATTCAGTAGCTGCAAACTCAGGCTGGCGACCTGAAGGTTGGCGTTTGTGCGAAGCCTGTACGCATGGGCGGATAAAATTTGTTAGGAAAGGGACGAAAGTGAAAAGAAAAGCTGCCCAACGTTGTAGTCACACCAGCGATCAAGGGGTAACTGTTAAGATGACACAGAAAATAAGTCAGCACTCTAGCCATCCTCAGGTCAGGATGTTAAATAGAAAACAACAGGCGATAGCGCCATCGCGCAAAAGGCCAGGTTGCGCGCGACCTTCAAATGCGGACAGCACATCAAGGCACAAAGGATTACGCGCCAGGTTCTGTCACCATGAGGTAACCAACATCACACGACGACTGCCAAAATAAGCGCATCGCGGAGGGACAAATAAGAAGAGGTATTTGATACAGAGCTGGTTGGCCCTTTAATACAAGGCTGCGAACAAAAGGCGGAGTCTGTTGCTCACATGAGAGCGTGCTGCTGACACACAGGACAAGCTGCAGACGAGACAACGCTGCCGACATTAACGCTGCGACTTCGAGGTAGACACACAGAAGCTGACGTACACATAGGGACTTTGCAGTAAACTGTTATTTAATATCCAGTCTCTCTTCTCTTCCTAAAATACAACTGGGAGCCATTACAGTACCGCAATAACCGGAAGTACTAAGTGTCGAATGATAAAGGAAGAGTGCAGCTAAATGCAAGTGCGTGGTAACTGAAGAGAACAAATAGTCCACAGAAACATCGATGAGGAAAAACTGGAAGATGCAAGCCGGACGGAATCATAGTTAAACGTGAGGGTGGTTGACTATGGTAGGTAACCAGGCGGGCATGGAGAAAACACAGAAATGGTATTTCATGGCATTGACGCCCAGAAAGGGGACGAGTAAAATATATCTGTACGCATGGATCAAGCGAGCGAGTGATGGTAAAGAAGGGTAACAGTAAAGCGGATTACACAGAATGGATGAGTTAGCGGGGACCCATTCGACTATGTAGTAAAATTTGGTAAACTGAAGCGGCAGTCAGCCGAAGTAAGACACGCTTGCATAGTGTTTTGTCAAATGTACACCGGCGATGAAGTAGGAAGTCCAAAGGTTGGCTCTGCCCCCAAGCGGAAGGGATGATCTACAGTTCTGAAGCAGAAACCGCGATTCGAAATACGTTAGGTGGGGTTGTCAGCGAAGCCCTGCACACAGGACGAAGGGAACTATATATTACTAAGGCGATGAGGGCTTACA